GCGACACGCGCCGCTGCCCGGGCAAGGCGACGGCCCTCTTGAGGGCGGCGGGCGCGAGGCGACGGCGTTTCGCGGCGCTCGGCCTGCCGGGCCTGCCGGGGCCGTCCAAGTTTGAAGACGGGTAATGAATGGAGTGGTGCTTGTTGGCGGGCGAGAGGTGGCGCGCGGCGCGGCCGGTGGGAGTTGGCGGGGCGGGGCGGGGCGGGCGTAGAGCTCGCCCAGCTGGACGACGACGGACGGCACCCTCGAGCTGGCCGGGCCGTGGCACTGCCTGTGCCGTGTCCAGGCGGCGAGGCGGCGCCCGAGGTTAGAGTCCGGGCGCCAGAGGCATGCCGGGGGCGCCAGTCCACCCCCTCCGCTCCGCTCCCTCTTGGCCCCGCTGGCCCTGTGCCACTGGAGCCCCCCGACGGGGCGGCCAGGCCAGGCCAAGGCCCAGGCAGCGCGCAATCTACTCTGCTTTGCGCGCTCCGCGCCCCGCGTCGCCAGGGCGCTCGTGTTTCCCAAACGAAGGGGTTGTGGTTCGGGGTTCGGTCGGGAAACTGTCACTAACAGCCGAGCTAACAGTGCGCCATCAGCGCGCGGCGGTGAGCCGCCAATTTTCTTCCCTCGCGCTGCTCGCCTTGGAACTATATTCCGCCACCTGCTGGATTTACAATTTTCCCGTCGCTGGGAACTGCTTTCCATTCCGAGAAAGACATGCAGTGAAGGAAACGAATGGTTTGGTAGCTGGTAGTAGTAGATGTTTACGTAATTCGAGATAAATTTTTTTCTGTGGGAGCAGTCTTCTCCCCTCAGAGATGTTGAGGACGTCGGCCTCTGCTAACGACTGCCGTCGAACATGGCCTCGGAGAGGGTCTCCGAGACGGGTCTCCGAGACGGCCTGCTAGGCCTCTCCTTATCTGTCCCATCTGATGATGCGCACGGACGGGTGGGTCCGGCGCCTCTCCAGACGCTCCAGACTTCCTCGGCACGGCCGGCCCTCGGCCCGCTCCCGGTCCGCCCTGTGTCGCTGTCCAATTCAGGGAAAGAAAATCAATGAATATTTGTGTGGGTCGGCGGCTGGCTGGCCTGGCTCGCCCTCCGCCAGTGGCTGGCTTTTCTCTCGTTAGGGGGGGGGGGAGCGGGCGAGCGGCGCCTGCTTTGGGGAGGCGCTTACAGAAAATATTTCCCATCTTTTCTCCAGGGGGTTGTGCCTCGCGGCGCCACGTGATTACAGCCTCCAGCGCCACCTCCGGCGCGGCCTCCGGCACGGCCTCCAGCGCCGCGGGCTGGGAGGGCGCTCTGGCCGATCTCTGGCCTTCAACTTACCCCCAGGCGCTGCCGCTGGCTGCCGCTGGCTACGCGAACACCAGGCCGGGCGAGGCTGCTACAGTGTGCCAGCACGCCGCCGGCGCCACGGCGACCCCCGACCGAGCCCCCGAGGCTGCGAGGCTGCGAGCTTGGAGCGGGTAAAGGCGTAGGGGTAGTTATGGTCCGCCTCCCCCCCACCCCGCGCGGCAACCATTACCTTCCGCGGGGGCTAGGCGCCCCCATGTCGCCCCCGCACTCCTTCCACCGCCCCACACTGCCCACGGACTTACCCCCACCCCTCCTCTCGCCCTTGCGTGACGCGCGTCCCCCTCCCCGCGCGGGACGCCGTGACGCCGTCCTGGACGGTGTAGTGGTCGGGGAGGGCGCGGCGCGGCGTCGACGCGGTGCACTGGGCCGTCAGAATAATTGATTCCGCTGCCCTCAGGACGCGGACGGGACGCCGGCGACGGGAGTGTTCGCCCTGCGTTTCTTTCAGCGCGTCCCGTTTTGTGGTGTAGTCGCAGTTTGTTGTGTGGAGGTGTGAGGTGTACTGTAAGCCGCCAGGAGGTCGTGGGAGTGCGTCAGATGGCGCTTCGAAAGGCAGAAGGGCGGGGTGGGGCGTGGTGGGGCGGCGCGCACCTCGTCCAAGGGTTAACTATCGGCCGGCGCGGCCTGGCCTGGCCTGGCCTGGCGCCACGACGGCGACCTCTCGCCCGGCCGGCCGACCTGCCTGCCGCGCGCTCCGCGAACGTCTACCGCTGCATTTTGCATCAGCCTGCCTTTCCGTGTATCGGCGGCGCCGCGGTCGCGGCGGTCGCGGCGGTCTGACCGCGACGTCGCCGACCTGGAGGCCCTTGCGGCCCTGAGGGCCCCCTGGCTTGGGGCGGCCGCCGTGGAGGTCGATCGGGAGACCGCGAGCTCTTTGAACCCGTGGCGGCCGGCCGGTCGCCCAATGCTGCCGCCAGCACCGCAACATAGACTCCTGGAACTGGGGGACTTAGTTGTAGGGCTTCCACACCGCAAGCGCCACCGCGGCGCGTTCCTCGGGCACACTGCTAATGAATGGCTTGGCGGGCAGCGCGGCCAGGGCCCTCTGACAGGCCGTCCTGACGTCTTGGCGTCCTGGCCGGAGGACGGGACGAGCTGCCCTTGCTGCAGTCCCTGCCAGGCTCTGCCAGTCCCTGCAGTCGGCCTGCTTGCCCCGCTCGCTCGGTCAGGCCGGCCGGCACTTGTTTTCTGTCCCGCTGTCGCGACGCTGCCCCGCGCTGCCCCGCGCCGCCCCGCATCGCCCCGCCGCCGGTGATGGATGGGACGGGGCCGTTCTGGCCGCGGCCGAGCCTGCCGGCCGCGCTGCCGCGGCTCCGTGCTGACTGACACTGACGTGGGGGGGGGGGTCGTTTCTTTGCCGCGCGTTTTAGGCTGGCCGGCGCTGCATCACTGCTGCGTTGCTGTCGGCCGGCCGGCTCGTCGGTGCGCGGCCTGCAGAGTGCAGAGGCTTTGCCGGGGCTTTGCAGTGCGCTGCGATGCTTTGCAGGTTGGCTGCGTCCTTTGGCCCCGCTTTGATCGGACGGCCGAGGCTGGCCGGGGCTGGCCGGCCGGGGCAGACGGATGTCGACCGTGTTCCCAATCCCGCCTGCACTCTGTGCACTCTCTGCACCGTTGCCGCTGCAGCCTGCACTTTCACACAGCGCGGCCCCGCTCCCGCGAACAGCGTGGAACAGTGTGGTGGAACAGCGGCGAATGGCGCTTGCCGACTCCGACTCACTCTGCAGGGGGCTGGTTCCGCGCTGCGCTCGTCTCGCCCCGTCTCTCTCGCACCCCGACGGCGCGCCCCACGGGTGCGAGAGAGACGGCGCGACGGTGGCACTGTTCGGAGCGAGCCTGTCGCTGGAAACGACGGACGGGGCTCCGGGTTGAGCTTAGCGCGCGTGCGTGTCAGCGTCAGGCCGGCAGGCGTCGGGCACACGCGTGTTGTACCTTTTCTGCGCGCGGACTCGACTCGCCTCGCCGTCAGTCACTGCAGGGCGGGGCGGCAGGGCCTGCACTTGCAACAGCACGGCTCGGCTATACTCCGCGCGCTAGGTACCCGCCCCATGACAGCCCCTGCGCGTGGGGTAGAGACGGACACGCTCATTGCTTTCTCCACTGGACTTTCCTCCCCACGCGCTGCTCTGCGCACTGGAAGTTGGCAGTGCGCGAAGTACGCTCCACTCTATCGATTTTTCTGTTTACGTTGGCTTCGATGCATTTTTTTGCGTGCCTGCGAGTGTGTGTGTGTGTGTGTCGCTGGTGGTGGATGCGCGGCCCGTCTGGGGTGTGTGGCGTGGCGCACGGTCGCTGCCTCGGTCGCTGCCTCGCCAAAGCCTCGGGGGAAACCAAAGGTGCTGCAGCCCGCCGAAGCCCGCCGAAGCCCCAGCCACTATGTCCGGCTTATGTCGTCGCCACCAGCGCGCGTGTGTGTGTGCGTGTGTGTGTGTGTGCGTGTGTGTGTGAGTGTGCGTGTCAGTCTTTTCATCCGTTTTATATTTTTCTTTCGCCATATTTATTTTGTGTGCTCGCAAGAGAAGAGTAACCGGGGGTAGAATGAGGCGAAGCGTATCTGTCTCGGTCTTCTGAAAGGGGGGAAAAAATCATTTTTTAAATCATTTTTTTCACTGTTGTCGAAGCGAAATTGATTAGATCCAACGTAGGTGGAATTAGTACCCTGAGTGTGTGCGCTGCTCGCCTTATCATATCAGCTGGCGGCCGGCTGCCAATAACAGTGTAGGGCGTGGCGGCGCAGCGCGGCGTGGCTGCGAGGAACGCGAGGCGATACCCTCGAGGAGGAGGGGGGGGGGTCCCTGCCTCTAACAAGCCAATTACCACAGGTGGCCGCGTACGTCTTCGATGACGACTTGGCGGGGCGGGGCGGCCGAGTGTGACGCCGCCGTAAGCGCCATAGGCAGTGCCTGCGCGATGCCGCTTCCCCTTCGCCGGCCCTTAGAGCCCTCCAGAGCCACTTTCCCTTTGTCCTGTCCTCTGCTGGTGCTTCTGGTTCCAGCACGCCCTTTTTGATTTTTTTTTTTCGAGTTTGACGCATACGCACAGTCGGCCGGCCCCGGCGCCACAGGCGTGTCCGCAGGGTCGCCCTTTCACTCGTCTGCCTGCCTGGCTGGCTGCCTGCCTGGCTGCCGGCGTGCCGCTACACTACTGTACGGGGTAAACTGGGAAACATGTCCGGAGCACGCGGCCCGCCTGGCCTGCCTGCCCCGGCCGCCCCTCCGTCAAAGACAGCTAAATAAAGATTTTGTGTTAGTGTTGGACCGCCCCTCCCCGTGCGGTGCTGGGCCTGCTCGCCATGCGCGGGCTTAGCCTTGGCCTTCGCGGCCCTCGCGCGCCTCGCGCTCGCGACCCTCCAGATAGCGTTACGCGACACTGCCGCCTTCGTCGCTCTGTCTCTCTCGCACTCGTGGGGCGTCCCCTACAGGTACGAGGGAGACGGGGAACGAGTCTGCTGCTTTGGCCGAGGCTTCGGGCCTCCGGGCAGCCTCCGGGCAGCCTCCGGGCAGCCTCCGGGCAGCCTCCGGGCAGCCTTACGTCACCGCTGTCGCCTTGCCACGTGTCGGGGCGGCCGACGTCGTCGTCGAGGCCCCGGAGCGGTGTAATAACGTGCCGCCCGGTGTCGGGTTGCTTCCTCGCTAACGGCCTTCCGCCCCTGTTTGCTGTTCCAGAGATGAGCGGGTGTTAGCCATGACGCCCTCGGCCACGAGACCGCCGGGCCGCCCCCCGGCCGGCCGGAGCCACGGCAGCCACGGCAGCCACGGGAGTGCGGCCTGGAGGGCGCGGGCGCCGCTGCTCTCCTCTCTGCGCTCCCTGCCCCAGCTCCCCGTCCACCTGGTGGTGGGGCTGTCCCTGCTGCTCTTCGTGCAGCAGCTCGCCGCCCAATCCACCTGTGGACCGGGCCTGTCCACACCTGGAGGTAAGTCTGCCGCCGAAATGGGAGCGTCCTGCCTGGCGTTTGAACCCGAGGTGACGTTGAAATGCGCCACCTGAGGGTGGAGACACCAAGGAAGCTGCTGCTTTTTGTGAAGCTCTGAAACCCAAACTAACGGGTTCCTCTTTTTATGGCTTGTCATTAAATTTTCTATGTTTCTTACCTACTTGCAGAGACAATACCAAAGGGAGATATCATCCTCCAGGAAGGAGAATTGCTGGAATTGTACTGTGTGCTGAACTTGACACATTCATCTACCAAAGGAAGAAATGCGACCCACCTCAGGTTCTATCGGCAGAATATGTCTGTGAGCCCAGAGTATCTGCAGGTGATCAATGAGACGACACTCAAACTGTCTATGCGGCCTAATGTATCCAGCTACATGTACTACTGCAAACTGTCACAGTATAAGACAGCGCAGGAGGAGGTAGTCTGTCTCAATAAAGTGTCAGTGGGATGTGAGTATAGAAAGTAATGATTGTATTGTAAAGTTAATTTTTCTGGCTGGGGACTAATTTTGCTTTTCCTGTACCTTTAGATCCACCTCTGGATGTCAAGGACTTCAATTGTGTATCTCAAAATTGGCAAAACTTGACCTGCAGCTGGGAGAAGAAACCCAATCCCGTGAAAACGAGGTATACAATTTGGTACCGATTGCCTGGAAGAGCAGGAGGAAGGTGAGTTATCACAACATTATTCATTGTTTTGAATCTTGGCTTCTTGATGGGTGTTCTAATGTTAACTCTCTTCTTTTCCCCCCATTTTTAGGACTAAGTATGCGTGTCCAGACGACTCTGATTTACAGAGAGATATGTGTCAATGGGCTGAGAATTCCAACCCTCAATACAGACTACCATACGAGTCATACCTTTTCATGATTGAAGGTGTCAATCACTTAAACAATGCAACTTATCTCCACAAATTCAACCATTATGCAAATGGTAAGAACCTTGTATTAATTTTTTTAACTTATGTCTAAGTAATTTATTTTTGGTAATCTAAACTTTTTTTTTTTTTCTGTTTGTAGTCATCCCTGGAAAGCCTGAGAATTTGAAAGTGATTAACAAAACAGCATACAGTGCACACTTGGAATGGTCTCTTCCGTATCCTATGCCAAACTTCCCACCTGGGCTTGTTCAGAGGATTGAATATTTACCTCAGTGGGAGTCGCGGGAGTCATGGCATAGGGTTGACACAGGAAAACTTGACACCAATGACAACCAACTTAACATTACTTCTCTGAAGTATGCAAACACACTTTATGACATCCGGGTTTATCTTAAATCTGCCAAGGCAAATCCTTATGATGACAAGCTGTGGTCTGCTCCTGCTGCTATAACTGTTAAGACTAAGCCAGATTTACCTGGTGCACCGCCAAGAACAGACATTGGTAGCTTTGAAGTGTACAATCATGTTGACAGTAGAGATGTGTTCATTTACTGGCAAACCATTCCGGATTTCCTCCAGAATGGAGATGACTTTGGTTACAGAATTGTTGATGTTGAAGAAAATGGTGATGTGTAAGTATTTGGTATTCTAATCTTGTGTGTGGTTTTACTTTTGTTAATAATTGAATTTAATTATAATTTTTATTTCCTCTATCAGGTCCAAAAAGTGGGCAACAGAACTCACTAAGAAACATGCCAGGCTCTCAAAAGTAGATCTCAACAAAAGCTTGCACTTCCGCATTTTTTCTGTTAATAAACTGGGACAGTCCGTCAACAGCAGTAAAATTATCATACCCGAGCGTCAGCAAGGTAGGACACCTCAAATTTGTCCTTTGCATTGAGTGTTTTGCCTAGTAATTTGTCTAATGCTGTTTTTTTTTTTTTTTTTTTTTTTTTTTTTGCAGTACCCCCAGGGCCTCTTTCAGTAACCAAAGTCTTCTATGAGAATGGTACTTATGAACTGTCATGGAAGCCTCCTACGACAGAGCAGAACATTCACAGCTATACTATATTTTGGTGTGATAGTATTTATGACCACATGTGCTCTGTAAGTAGATTTTTTTAATTTCTTCTTTTGTTTTTTCAATCTGTGTTTTTGTGAAGCAAATGTGCTTAATGTTTTTTTTTATCCTTTTAGGGATATCTCAATTGGACTCACGTGCCAAGCAACATCACAATGAAGAATATGACCGTGGAAGATGACAAGTCGTATCAGTTTGCTGTGTCTGCTAACACTTACAATGCCAGCAGTGGTATGGTCTGGGCCTCTTGTACAATCCTTTATAACAAACGTAAGTATTCTTGTTGTGTCTGTTTAATGCTTTAAAATGCAGTATATGCTGAGTCATGTTACTGACTTGTCTTTTGTTTAAAATTTACAGCTATCCAGAAGATGAAAAATGTTTGGGTTAAGAGAGTTGGGTCCACATTCATGGAGTTGGTATGGAACCTGGATTGTTTGGACCGTAATGGACTTGTTACTGGTTTCAATGTTTACTATTGCCCAGCTTTGCACAAAGGAACAGAGTGCAAGAGTATGTATTTTCTTCTTGCATATTTTTCTTTAATTTTCTTATTTAGTTTGTATAATTTTTTAAATATTTTGTGACATTTACTATTTTAATTTTTCTTGCAGCTCCCAACCAAAATGTGACTGTCATGGATCCACAGCAAAGCTTCACAAACCTTACAGGATTAAGACCATACACAACATATTCCATTGCTATTGCCGTGATCAGCAGTGGTGGCGAGAGTTTGCCAAGTGATCCGCTTCTTAATGTCACTCTTGAAGCAGGTGAGGTCACATGAACAAAGTTGCTTTATTTGTCATTAGCTGAAGCGAATTTGACTTATCTAATCTTATGTTGTTTCTTATTTTTTCCAGCCCCCTCTCCACCTCAGAATGTTTCTATTGTCAACATTACGAATACAACTGTCACCATCACATGGAACGTCCCAGAGGAAAAGAATGGTGTCATCACAAAGTATGAAGTGCACTATGATGGCAAGGTCATCACCAAGAATAATGACAACCAGAAAAAGCAGGAGGTTAGTATTCTTCTTTGAGTAATTGCTTTTTTATATCTCATGATTTCCATATCTGTATCAGCTCTGAATCTAACTCTTTTGTGTTTGTTTCAGCTTGTTTTGGAGAACCTCACAAGTTACTACAACTACAGTATAAGCGTGGCTGCCTGCACATTTGTGTGTTCTGACATGTCTCCACCACTTCTTGCCGAAACAAAGATAGGAGGTAACGAAACCCATAAATTTTTCTTTCCTGTTTTTATTTGCATGAATGTTTGAGAGTCATCATGTGCTAACACCGTACTTCTTTTCAGAACCTGGTATTGTGAATGCTCCCAATGTTCAATTCTTGAACCAGTCTCTCCTTTTGGTTACGTGGGATCACCCTGCTCGTCCTTCTGGCCTTCTGGACTATTATGAAGTTAACATTACTCACCCAGGTGGAGATAACACTAGCAGTGAGATTCGAGAGACTCTGAGTAAGGAATTTAGGTTTTCTAATGATATGATAGTCCTCCCCCTGTCATTGAGTGTATTTACTTACGTGATATTCCTTCTCTCTTCACAGACACTTCAGTGCAGGTACGCATTGATGGGTGCAGTGAACGGCTGAATGAGCCTTATTCCTTCACCGTACGCGCTGTGAATGTAGACCCCAACAACCCTCGCAACAAGTACAGGGGGAAATGGAGTAGTCCTGGTGAAGGAAGCTGTTACACGAATGGTAGGTCGAGTCAGGTCCTCACTTGCACATTTTTCTATATTAAGTTTGTTTGTCTAATTTTTGTTTCTATGTGCTGTTTCAGATCTTCCTCAAGTCCTGAAGATAACCATTTATGTACTTATGATATCGGTGTGTATGGTGATCAGTTGCATTCTCATTTGTTTGGGTCGGCGGCTGTGGTACAAATGCAAGGATATGCGTGATGTGGAAGTCAAGTTACCCCCTGGCATTGTCCTTCCCCTGGTAAGTGACTCATTATATTTTTATAAGATCCCTATTCCCTGTTTAAATAACTGTTAAATTTAATCTGTTATTGTTTGTTTGCCTATTCAGGAACCGGAACGAGATCAGGATTTCAAGATGCATCCGTGGGGCAATCACAACCATGACAGCAAACCACCTCATGGTCTCTGCCCAGCAGCTGATGAAGAGGTAACAGCTATTTCTTTTTGTCTTTCAAATTTACTGCCTAACTGCTTATGTGGTTACTGACGACGATTACTTTCTCAGCGCCTTCTCCAGCAAAAGGATGATCACCACCATGACCGGAATTTAAGCGGTGACAGCAGTGGTTGCAGTTCGGGGCATGAGAGTGTCTCTTCTTCTGCCACGTCTGGCACTCACATCTCTTCGGACTCTGGAACTGAAGTTGACAGGGTGCGTCCGCATAAAATGCTCACCACTGCAGAGGTTAAACTCCTAGGTAGAATGCCACTAACGTCTTTCCTTTGCCGCTGTGCATTCCAGAACGAGCCGGGCTTTGGCGACCCGTCCTGGGAGGCGGCCTCGGACTCCGGCTCCATGGGCCACGGCGGCCACGGCGGCCAGCGCCAGGGCCAGGTGGCCAAGTGCCCCATCTGGGACGAGCCCTACCCGTGCGGCAACTCGGGCGGCAGCAACTCCGGCTCCAGCAAGGGCGCTGCGAGCGTGAGCGTTGCCCACGCCGGCAAGAGCGACGTCCGCAGCACGCCCAACCTGACGGAGCTGGAGCCGGGGTACACTGTGCTGAGCCTCACCAGCTGGCCCTCGTCCGCCAGCATCCCGGAGCGCGTCGACAAGAAGGTGCCGCAGTCGTGCGGCTACGTGCCGCTGGAGACGGCGCAGGCCCTGCCCATGCCCACCATGGTCCCGGTGCCCGCGCCGGCCGGGCTGCCCGAGCAGGCCAAGCAAGCCAAGCAGGCCATGGGGCAGAGCAACGGCTACGTGGCGCACCCGCCCACGTCGCTGATGTGGGCGCCGCAGCCCCAGCCGGTCACCCCCACCGCCAAGGGGTACGTCAAGACGGGCACGGGGGCGGCGCCGGCGAGCGTGGCCCCCGCCTCCTCCAAGGAGGCCTTCACGCCCGAGTGCGAGGGCAGCTGGGAGGAGCCCTTCCAGCGGCTGGGGCAGCAGCAGCAGCAGGCCGGCGGCTACGTCAAGGCCGGCGTCCAGGAGTGTGTGGGGATGAGGCCTAGTCGGACAGAACCTGCCCTGAGCGCGAACGCGGCGAACGCGGCGAACGCGGGGGGCTACGTGGTGACGGGGACGGCGGGCGCGGCCGTGCCGAGGCACAAGCCCCACAAGGCGCCGCCCGCCACGGCCTCGCCGGGCGCGCAGACGGCGCCCACGCCGCAGACGGTGGACATGCTGAAGCAGGCGCAGGCCGGCGTGGCGCCGCACGAGTACGTGCTGACGGGGGAGCGCGAGGTGGCGAGGAACGCCCCAAACGCCCCGCTCGTGGTGCTGGACCCCGTGCCGCCCAAGGCGTACTGCCGGGTGAGCGACAGAGACAGAGACTCGGTGGCCGTCACTCGGCCGGTGCCCAAGGCCCTGCCCGTGGCCATGCCCGTGGTGATGGCGGCGTCCTCGGGGTACGTGCCGCATAGACATCTGGAGGCGCATAGCGCCAAGGCGCCCAGTGTGGTGGAGTAGTTAGTCTGTGATTCTAGTGCCGCGACCGCCATGCCGCCGTGGACTAACTTGTTGGCCCAGTCCGTGTCGTTCGACTGGTTTGTGATCTGTGATTTCAAGTGAGTGGTGACGTGCCCCTGCTGCCTCCTCCCTCCTCCTCCGCGCTGCCTGTTTTGCTCCTTCTATTGTTTACCTGCTGTGCACTTTGCGCTCTAAGAAATTCCTGCAACGCTGAACTGGCTGTACTGTATCATCGAGCTCATACGACTATTGCTAAAAGGCCAGACCTGCTTTGAAGCTCATTCCTAGTTCCTGATATGCACCACTTACGTGTATAAAATGTTATTGATGTAAGTAAATGTTTCTGTTGATACTGTATGTCTTTATGTAACACAATTGTATAAATTTAATGTAACCGTTACTAATTGTGATGTTATAGTGCCACATGTTCTGAGGATTGAAATGAGCAGTATCAGTGAGGATCAGTTCATATCCACGAACCGGTTTTTATTTATACCAGTGATAAGTGTACATTTTTAATTTATAATTTAACGGATCTGTACCTGAAACTTTTACAGATAATTTTTAGTTTAAGGAACTATTGGTACTCCCAGACGATTTTAGATGTTATTTGTTTGTTTTGTACACAGCTATTGTATGTGAGGTTGTTTTGCAATTTTGTACATTTATTTTTTTGACTGCAAAAGTATGTGCCATTTTCTGTTGCTATTGTTCATGCAAGTAAGTCCATTAGTTCCTTCCAGTCATTTTGTTTTCTTTTGTGAAGAAATGAATCTCATCTTTGCATGTGTGAAAATTTATGGCCAATTAGGGTGTTGTGTAGCTTCTTTCCTCTTTGGCATTACTGCTGAAGCAATTTCAAGCATGGTGCTACTTGACTTAGAGATACAACATTCTATCAAGGTTTTCAGATTAGAAAAATGAAAACTTTCAAATTATGCATAGTTCTGTCTTATAAACCCATATGAGTGTTGCTTGTTTTAATCAACTGTATTGTGCTTTACAGTGTTGTGCTTATTAAGTGTTGTCCCCAGTTTTCAATGTAAATTTACTTTTTACAGTTTTATGAGCTGATTCTGTTAGGGGTCAGTCTGTTTAATTTCACATTCAAATGTACCATGCACCACCCTGTACATTGAATATTTACATGGGTCTTTGATTAGGTCTTAGGATTACATCAGTCAAATTTAGGTGTGCATTTTCTTTGACTTCTAAATGTTAAATGTTCTCTATCTTTTATATAAACAAATTTATTCCAAAAGACAAATCTATGACTATACCAGTCTTTTATGAGGTGGCGTTTTGTGGATAAAGTTTAAAAAATATATTTACCAAACTGTATTTTATGTCAATTTGGAATTCTCCTCTCTTGTGTATTGGACCACTATTGTTTGCTCATATGTAGATTGCTCGTAAATTTTCTTCATATATTCAGACCTCTTTAAGTGTATTGTGTGTTAAATGTTGTGATTGGTCAGTGTGTGATTCTAGAATGGGATCCAAAAGTTTTTATGGGTATTATAGGGTAATTCTCAAATTTTCATTGTGATCTCTCTGAGCTATTTTTTCTGTTCTTTAAATGTATATTTTTAAATAAATATTCCAAATTTAACTTGTAATGGGGTTTCCATATTCTTAATGGTCATTGAGACTAAGCCTAAATTATGTTTCATGTCACTTGATGGTTTTCAAACTCTCTTTACTTAATTAACTTTGAAGTCACATTCTTTATAAATGTTTACCTCTTTGCACCGTCCTTCACTTTCTAGACCATTTGCTAGCCCTCTTTGACATTAATAAGGGTTCAGCAGTATTACTGGCTATGTCTCTTTTCAAAGATTTAAGAGCATTTGTTTTGACCCAGTGATCAGAATTATGGATGTATGCAATTTTGTCTTGAAGACAAAGTGTAACTTTTAGAGTTGGATTCTTAAATTTATCACAATAGTTGTCCAATACCTCTGTTTCATGTAATTCTATGTGCTGTTTATGTTAAATGTAAACTAGGCATGATATATCAATATGTGGTCTTAGCACATTCAAATTGGTAGGGTTCTTTAATGTTCCATTAATTTTACTTTGTCTCAACATTCATCTTAAAAGATATCTCTTTCATCTGGATAACTTTTGTTTTGTGAATTGTGTACTTGCACTATGACACAGTGCCCATGATTACTCATGCTGAAAATAGATTCAATTATATGCAAAGTCTTGCTCTTGTTGGGGTTTGTTTGGGCACCCCAAGTCTTAAAGTTTTGAATGAAGATATTAAATTTTTATGGTATTTATGTGATATGTGACATTGTTCTGGATTTACTTACAATGAAGGAAGGAGTCCTATTGTGAACGTACTGCAAACATAAATGTTTATAAATAGGCAATTTATTTTCTGTTCCTGTTGAATTGCAGATAATGTATCTAATTGTCAGGCTACTTCCACAAATAGTCCTGTTTTGTTATATCTTGTGAGTTGTTTTTGTTTTTAATATGTTTGTATTTCACGTTCATTAATTTTTTTCATTTAATGTGTTGTGGAGAATTGTGTTACAAGTCAAGCTGTGCCGTTTTATCGTGACCAAATGCTGTGATGTCACAGTGTTTGTGTGGATTAAATATTTTCATTGGGACAGGCACCCAGTCCTGGGCCTCTATCCTAATGACAAACATTTAAGTAGACCAGCTGATATTAATTTGCCGACTGATTAATGTAAAACTCTACAGGTGTCCTATGTGTGTTTCTTGGTTCGGCCAAAATATGTTATAGTTAATTGAAATGATAAATGTTTAAAGTTGTGGAAGGAGCCAGGACCAATGATATGCATGTGTAAAATAACTCATGTACATAAGTGTATAAAATTAAAATAAATAAATTCTATCAAGATACATGAAACTGGCTTTCGCTTTTTTAACCCATCACTTCACACTACATCCAGATAGTGAATCTTCAAAAGAGCATGAGTCGCTTTTCCGCCAGCGTATGAGAGTGACAGAGATGGATCTAGGCGAGCGCACCAGCCGCACAGAGTGACACATGGTCTGCACAGCATCCAGAACCGAAGCCAGGACGTCGACGAGATAACGAGGACACACTCTCAAACTCACACAAAGGCACTCTCGCAGGCAGAGGCACGAAGCGAATAGTCTGTCACTCGACTCAACTTCTCACGTATCAAAAGGAGAGATTGCCACACGCCACACGAGATTGTCTCGTGGAGGGTGGACCGCGGTGGCCCGCGGGCCGCTGCTGGGTTTGAACGGTTTGAACCGCAAGACGCACGACGCTCTGGAATTTCCCTCGCCCACCAAACACGAGGGCATTTGCTGAAACCCTGTAGGGTATTCAGTGTTTGTTCCCCGACTGATGGTGCGAGAGAGCGGGAGAGAGATAGCACCGCGCGACGGGGATGACGAGGACCAGAGACACCGATCAGACGTGCGTTGCTGCTAAACCGGCACCAGGCACCGCGCGTACCGAGCCATGAGCCATGGGGAGATAGGCGCGATGGCGGAAGAGGGGGGGGGGACTGTGACTGGTTTGGTGGAAAATTAAAGGGAACGAGACAAAAAGAGGGGGGTACATGGAGCTCACACGCGGGGCACTACTGCGGCGGCATACACACACACACACACTCCGGCAGGCCAGGACCCCGTCAGGACTCAGAGGCCCCCGGGCGACAGTGCGTGGTCTCGAGGTCGCCGACGAGCACCGCGCCGAGGACCGCGACGACGGCCCGGTCCGGCCGGAGGCCGTGTATCGCATCCGACCGCCGCTGACTAGTGCATTACTCCGTTCGTATCAACTGCAGACGGCTCGGCCTGCTCGCCGAAGTGGCGGAAGCGAGGCCTGCACCCTGGGCCTGGACCCTGGGGCAACATGGGGGCAACATGGGGGCCGGATACCACCACGGCCTGGAATCTGGAATAACAGTCTCGAGATAGTCGGCAAGTCGCGCCGTCGCGCCGCGTGTCAAGGGAGTGGCGGCCCCGCGTCACTGTACGGAGAAAGGGGAAGGACTCGCTGTGCAACAAGGAGCGGAAGAAGAAGGAGGAGAAGGAGCGACTCCCCGCCCCCCTCCTCGCCCCGCCAGCCCCGCCAGCCCCGCCAGCCCGGCATGAATGGTAAGTATTTGTTACGATAACAAGGGCAACCGCGTGGGCAGTGTGGGCACGCCGCGGAGCCGCGACAGTGCAGCCAAGTGCGCTGGAGCTGCATGCTGCATGCTGCATGCTGCACGCCGCTTGCCGCCTTCTGGTGCTTGCTCGCTGTGGAGTGGAGAACCCTACCCGAGCCTCGCCGCGGAACACTGCGGACTGGCACTCCACTTATCGGGCCGGGCCTTGCCAAAGTCGCGAAAGGCCGCGGCCCGCAGTGTGCAGTCCTGTGTCGATAAGGGCGAGGAAGGCCGCCGCGCGCCTCGCGGTTCGGCGCTGCCCGGCTGTGTTGACAAGGGGCGGGAAGGGAAGTCGTCGACATGACGATTCAGGTGAGGGGCAGGGCACGACTTGGACGGGGTGATCCCGACGAGGCTTGCTCTGACATTCTGGAATTGTGCTTTGAGTTTGGCGCGCTGTGGTTGCAGGTGATGGCCGGGTTCGCGTACAGGGGCGCTGGTGCGGCTGATGCGCTGACCGCGGAGCTGGGCGAGCTGCCCCCGGTGCTGGGACTGCTGGGCGCCCCTGCCGCCGTGCCGGTCCCGGGCCCCGGCACCCCCAGCCCCAACATGTACGGCGCGACGGAGGCCTCCATGTGCTGGGGCGCGTTCTCCAAGGCCGGGCCGCCGCTGCTGCTGGCCCACGACGCCGACCTCAGCCCCGGCGTCCCCGCCATCCCCCTCAGCCCCGCCCAGGTTGGCTGCCAGTTTTGGTCCGACTCGTACAGTTCGATAGGTAGGGTGCGGCTGCGGTGCTGCGGTTCGGACCCCACCGAAGGCGTCCTTTTCACTTGGGGGTCGACCGTGAAGACGGCTCACTTGACAGTGGCGCGCGCTGCCGACAGACTCGTCGTCGCCGTGGGTGGAGGAGTTCCCGGAGCTGGACAAGGACCTGGACTTCCTGCTGGAGGGCGACGCGGACTCGACGCACTTGGCGCTGCCCGAGCGCACCGCGCTGTGCACCGAGTTCTGCGACGGCTTCCTGAGGGAGAGCGCCGAGCAGCTCATGTATGCCCCGCTGGTGGTGCTCGGCGTGGACCTCCCCGCCCTCGCCAGCCACTACCCCTGCGGTAAGCCGGTCCACCCGCCAAATCCGCATTTTATTTCCAACTCCTCGTGACCTTTGATTCTGCCGACGCAGCGCCGTCGACGCACTACCGGTCGCCGTGGTCGCAACCCCCGCCGCCCAGCTCGGTGGACTCCGCGGCGTCACGGCCGTCACCCTGCTCGCCAGCAAGACCGCCGCCAGCGCCCACACCGGCCGGTTCGTCGACGCACTCGCCGAGTCCGCGGCCCGGACGGCCCGGACGGCAGCGGGCCGAGCGGACCGCCCACCGCTCCACCGAGGCCGCGCTCGCCCTGGCGGCGCACGACTACAGCAAATCGGTTAGCACCGCGAAACGCAAATTTGAGTCTGGGGCGGGAATCGAACCGAGGACTGGTACACTGACGGTTGCTGTTGAAGGCCAAGGCGTCGTCGTCGAGCCCCTGGCTGCCCGAGCTGGCCGAGCTGGCCGCCGCGGACGACAAGGTGTTCGCGTGCCCGTTCGCGGGCTGCGGCAAGCTGTACGCCAAGTCGTCGCACCTCAAGGCGCACCTGCGGCGCCACACCGGCGAGAAGCCCTTCGCCTGCACCTGGCCGGGCTGCGGCTGGCGGTTCTCGCGTTCCGACGAGCTGGCCCGCCACCGGCGCTCGCACTCCGGCGTCAAGCCCTACCAGTGCAAGGTAGTGTAGTACGTCCTTGCCGTCCGTGCGTCCAAACGGAAGCCGCGTTCAATTAGCCCTGTGACGGGGCGGGGCGGGGCGGCCTGTGACGACCAGGGAGCAATCAAGGGAGCGGCACTGAACTGAGACTCCGCGCAAGCGTGAACCGCGTTCAATTAGCCCTGTGACCGGGCTGTGCCGAGAGGGCTGTGCCGACTGGAGAGCAATCAAGGGACACTCTACACTGGGAGACCCCGCGAAGCGTGTCACGTGTCACTTTGGCCCCACGTTGCCCAACCTAACCTAACCTAACTTAACCTAACCTGACCTAACTCGGACGACGGTTGTCTTGTTTCAGATCTGCGAGAAGCGGTTCGCGCGTTCCGACCACCTCGCCAAGCACCTCAAGGTGCACCGGCGGCACCGGTGGCTGCAGGAGCGGCGCGGCGCCCCGGCGTCGGGGCCGCGGGGGCAGGGCGGCGCCAAGCCCAACGCCGCCCACACCGCCACCCGCCGCCAGTGAGCGGACAAGTGCCCGACAAAGTCATTGTTCAAGGACAAATTATTCAATTTTATTTTTGTACAGACTAAAGAAAGACGAGGCTGGCCTCTGTCAATCAAGCTCGGCAGTCGTCTTCTCGTATTATTTTTGTAATTTTATAAAGTGTGATGAGTTTCTCGCCGATGCTGTCTCCACTGTCTCAAAGCAGGCGAAGAGAGGGGGGGATGCTTTCAATTAACAAGACCACCCCCGAACTCACCGGTCCGCAACTTTAGGTGAAACGTGAAACAGTGGTGTGACCTGCGACGGGCCCGGTGTGTCCACTGTGTGTCGCGCCCCCTATGACGATCTGATTGGCACGCCTCCGTCCCGTGACGTCACCGCCTTTGCTTTGCATTCGCGAGCACGTCCCCGACGTGACGTTGCACGGCACGGTGGGGCACGGCGGCCCCGGGGTGCGCCCGGAGACTGCATCCGGCGCGACGACAAACGCATCAGCATCAACATGGGGGAGGGGAGGGGAGGGGGAGGGGGGCAGGAAGGGCTTTTCGAACGCAACCCTCGCCTCCGCCCATGCAGGCCTGGAGCTGTTACGCATGTGCTATGTCGGCTTGTACCTACGCATTCGCAGGCTGGGAAAAAAGGCACGAGGCACTAATGATGACCGTAGTTTCAGCTTACTGGCTGACGCGTGGAAAAGTTGGACGCTTGCAGCGTGGCGGCAGTCCGGCGAGAATGTTCCCTGGAGGCTGTCTGGAAGGGTGGTGGAGGAGCAGTGGGGGTTCCTGGAAGCCTCAGGAGGCGTTGTGGAACGGGCGGAAGATGATTCGCAATTCCTGCAAAAGTCTCTAAAGTCCGGGAATATTCTCGCTGCGGGTGGGGGACTCTTGATGCTGCACGCTGAAGACGCGGCGGCGCTACCCCTCGCCTCGACGGCGTCGCCTCGCGCGGGGTATCGCCGGCAGCCAGTTTGGCCTGGAGCGCCTGGAGCGAGCCGGCGCGGTATTTCATTACGGGACACGCGCCGTCCCGTCCGCGAGGCAGCGTCACGCCGCGCGCCTCGCCGCGCCTTTCGGCCCTCCACCCTCGCCCTCCGCCCTCCACACGCAGCCCTTTGATGATGGATTGGCCGCGTCGCCCCGTCCCTTCCGGTGCACCCCCGGGGCAGCCAGCAGCTCCAGCGGCTCCAGCGGCTCCAGCAGGGGGCGTCCGAAGCACCCCGGAGCGTCCAGGCCGTCCAGGCGGCGGCGCGCACGGGCGGGGCGTCCAGGCGGCCGAAAGGGCACGCTCCCTGCTCGGCGCTCCCTCGCACGCAGCCAGGATTAACAAGTCGTAAATCCCGGGGCGCCGCGACGCCCTTCCGCCCGGCGGAGGCCCTGGGTGTCCCGGCCCTCCCGGCCCTCCCGGCGCGCAGTCCGTCCGGCGTCCGGCCCTGCAAAAAGCCCTCCGTGAGTGCCGGGGAAGGAAAGGGAAGGGAAGGCCACGGCTGAAGCGACGCTCCTCGAGGGACGTGCCGGTCCCGGACAGCTGGCGGGGCGCGGCGCTGCGGAGATGGCCGGTCCGCCATCCAGCCTTCCAGCCCGCGGCCCCTCGCCGCCTTCGCCGCCTTCGAGGCGCCCTCGGACGCCACGGCCGCCACTATAAAACAAGGCAGTTACGCCGCGACAGCCCTGCAGCCTTTGCAGCCCTTGCTGAGCGCGGCAACGCGGCTCGCTGGGGCTGCCCGTCCACGCCGTGGCGGAGGCGGAGAGGCGCTCGCCGCGCTCGCCGCTCCCCCGGGGCTCTCTAGGCGCCGCCATCGGCGGCGTTATTAAACGACGACCCGCTAGGGGCTGCCCCGCCGTCACGCTAAATCCGAACGGCGCCTCGTCGCTCTGCCTCTCTCGCACCCCTACGGTTGCCCCGCGAGTGCGAGAGGGACAGAGCGACGAAAGCTCCGTTCGTCCCCCAGCGGCCCAACGGCCTCGGCTCAACGGCTCGGCGAGGGCAGAGGTGGCGGGGCGGCCACGACGGCGTCGCCTGGCGGACCGTTCGGTAAAGGCTTTTCTTCAGGGGATCGTCCGGGAGCGCGGTGCCGTTGCCTTGCGGGATGCGCAGTGCGGTTTGCAGACTTGCCGTCGTCGCTACCCCACGCGCGAGGTGCACCCCGCCAGGCCGGGGTGAGAAGTCTCTCGAGCGCGGGGTAGCGGTGGTACCCGCCGCGGGGTAGGGCCGACGCTGCGGCGCGAGGCGGCCGTGGTGTCGTGGGGTATCGCCGCCCCCCCCCTCCCCGCTGCGGAATCACCACTGCAGGGCGATAGACACGAAGTGACGTCCGTCAAGCGCGTCAAGCACCCCGAAAAGGCGCTTCGGAACGCAACCGTCCCTCAATTCGCATTTCGGAGCGCGGTGGCGTGGCGCGGCGTGGCACGACGGGGACGTGTGTCGGCCAGTGCCGGCCTGCGCCCGGCCGTGCGGCGGGCAGCTCAAGGACAGCGCTGTCCACGGCAGGCTGAGTCCGAACCGCGCCTCGTCGCTCTGTCTCTCTCGCACTCGCGAGGCGTCCCGGAGGGGTGCGACAGAGACAGAGCGACGAGGCGCCGGGCCGTGCTGGACGGTCCTCCGGGATTTATATCGCAGTGGTCAGGCTAAACAGGGGTGGACCGGACTCGGGCCGGGCCCCAGCCGCCACTATCCGGCCGGCACCTCATCTTAATTTCAATGCCGCCCTGGTCCACCCTGGTCCAGCCTGGTCCTGGACGCGCTGCACTGCGAAGCACTGCCAAAGCGCCGACCAGCGTCCCACCCCACCACGGCAGCGCAGACGCCGCCGCTGTCGAGATTTCCTTCCGAATACATTATGACACGCGAGCTCCCCGTAAAACCCCATTTTGTTCATTCTGTCCGTTGTTCCTGTTCCGTTTTTCCCCACGGAGGTTTCCATGAGGATGCTGCACCGACGCGGCTCGCAGTGGCGGGGCAGGGCCGCCCTGCCCGACTATGCGGCGTGGCGGCGGCGGTAGTTCGAACGTCGAACAGCAAATATTTTGGCGCGCCGAACAAGCGGCGGCAGGGCCGGGCAGGGCCGGGCAGGGCCGGGCAGGGCCATGCCAGAGGCAGCCGGAGGCCGGCCACGCCAACGCCATCACGCGCGGAATGCGGCCGGTATCGGCCCCCTTTTACCCTCCCCCCCTCCACCCCCTACCCGCCGCGCTGTGTCCTGCAACCCTCAATTTTCACCCCCCCCCTCCCTGCCAATGCCGCCAATTCCCCTGTCACCTCGGGAGCCTCGCTGCCTGCGCTGCTTCTAGCTCATTTCAACGCTCCCCCCCCCCCGGACGGCTCCCCCCTCCCCCTTCCCTCCGCCTTCTTGATCCCGCGCTCATCCCACCCTCGATCCCGTCATCCCACCCACGATCCTCTATCCCCGTCCGGGCGGAGCGGGGCGCGGCGGCGGCACGCCAGGAATGCCATTGTTATTTTCGGATGGGAACACATCATACGTAAACGTCGCCCTACACGCCCCGCCCCGCCCCGCCCCGCCCCGCCCCGCCCCGCCCCGCCCCGCCCCGCCCGATGCTGCCGCGTCCCGGCCCTACGATAGAGCTGCAAAGTTTGCTCATGAGGCGCCCCGCCCCGCCCCGCCCCGCCCCGCCCCGCGGAGAGAGGGGAATGCCGTGCCACGCGTTAGTGAAGTGCGAGCGCGCAGGGCGGCGCAGGGCGCGCAGCCTCTGTTCGCGCAGCGTGCTTCTAGTGTGTGAGCCTCCTCAAGACGCCGGGCCGGCCGACAAAACTATTGCACGCCCCCGAAACAAGAGCAAACAACAACAGCGCAAACAACGAAAACAACAAGAGCTCTGTTTTGATTTCCACTGGTAGGGGCGAATGAGGCCGCGTAGAAGGCACCGTTTTTCCGGTCGAAAGAACGTATCCACCCACGCGCTCCCCGACCGGCCCGCGCCACTGGAATGTGGAATTCAGCAGCGCTGTGCAGTGCAGCAGCATCGGCGCCATCGCCTGCACTGTGAAAACGAGCAATGGCCATCACGGAGGCTGGAATCGCACCGCTAATCTGTCCTTGTCGCACACGAAGCGGATTTGGAGGCCAATCCGCGCGGGGGCGTGAATCCGTGTGTGTCCGCGTGCGCCTGTGTGCGTGCGTGTCCGAGGAAATATGAAGCCAAAGCCGTGACTCATGGGACGTGTTTGCCGCGGATTCGCGCGTGCACTGCCCGCCGGCACGGCACTGGCGCACAGTGGGCCGGTGGAGGCGGTCAAAATCCCGGACGCGTTTCGAGCTCCAGAGTCGCTAAATGGGACTCGAACCGGACGTGTGACCCCACCAATGGATTGCTCTCCGAACGAGGAATCCATTGGTGGGGTCACACGTTCGGTTCGAGGCCCATTTAGCGACTCTGCAGCTCAAAACGCGTCCAGAGTTTTGGCCGCCTGCACCGGTCTTCTGGCCCACTGTGCGGTGGCGCTGCCGGCACGCTCGCGTACCAATTGGGGGCGACACATGCTGCGGCCCATCCTGGCCGTCCTGGCGTGCACGCCGGGCACGCCCGTGACAGTGGCGCGCCGGACGCGCCAAAATGGCCGCGCGGCGTGACCAATCAGTGCGGACAGCATATGAGTTTTGCTCTCTAGCTTTTTTTCTTCTGCCGGGCGTCCGTCCTGTGGGGATTGCTATCATGCCGTGACGGCCCGCCGGCCGGGAAGTGTGCCGGATACGACCAAAGCGGCCGAGCGGCCGAGCGGCCAGGCGGCCTGGGGGATGGAATGTGGCCGGTTTAAAAGGGTCTGCGGAGTCGCCAGGCCCTTTGGCTGGCTGGCGGGGCCAGGTGAGGCATTTCGGACCCTGTCTGAAGGCCCGAAGGCCTACGCCGGGAACCAGGGGCGGGACGGGTGGGGAAAGAGGGGGCGGTCGCCGGACGGGAGACCCACTGTGAATACCAGATGGCATACCGGGGCC